TCAATATAAACGAGTTCGTGACATTTACTCAACAATTCAAGGTCACATGAAAATGTTTTCATCCCATTCACTCAGATATTTTCAATTGTTTTAAGTATTATTGATATATAATGATTCACAGCCACAGTTTTTAAAACAACACCGTTCAACTATATAGTGATGAAATTAAAAACAAACACAATGAATTTATGATAAAATTGACCAAATAAATGTGAATTTAAATTTCATAACTGACGAAAAAGTTTGTGTAAGTTGATTTAAACAACTTGAAGCATCGTCTGTGTGGAAGGAAATGGAAAAGAATTGCGTCATGAATAATAAATACGATGCAACTGGAAGGTTAAATCAAGTGAATTATAATTTTTTATTTTGAAAGAGAAGATTGTATCTCACACTAAATGTCTAAAAGAAGACTGAGAATGAACAAGTGAAGAACACGTCACGATCCATCCCGTGCATGTCCAGATGTTTCCGTGGAAACAAAGCAGTGGCTGGTTCTCAACGAGTCTCGGTTACTTCTCGTCTGTAAAAATAGAAAAACCTGATCTGATGAAGACGCCAGTTTGTTTGAGCCAAGAGGCTGCAGGTCAGGTCCCACCGAGCGTCTCTGAGGACTATCATGTTTACATCTGAGCGTCCATCATCTGTCCTTTATTGCTAATGCACAGAGGAGACAGAGGAGCTGATGGGTATCACTGTCATCTCTGTGCTCAGATAAAGGTCCAGCTTGTTTTTAAACACGGCCAAATTTCATTAACTTATCAGCGGCTGTGAAGAGAAACTATAAAGAGCAATCAGACGCACGATAAGCAACAGGATACATAAGATAAATACGTTCTCTGTGTGTCGAGCACAGACAAAGGTCCAGCACGTGTTTAGCCTAGCTTAGCACAAAGAGTGGAAGCAGGAGGATGTTAGCGAGCCCCTCGTATGATGTGGTAAAATCAAATCCACAAACTTTTTGCGAAGTTGAAACACTGAGCATTGATCTGGAACATTGTCCCTCACCTCAGTGTACTCTGTCGTTTACTCCTCACACATCCCAGTGTCTCATTACTGCCTCTCTTGTTTCTTTGATTCCGACGTCATGATGATGGTTCACATCACGTTTTCCACCAGTGGACAAGAGATACTAAAACTGTCCTTCCTCTTTCCTCTCTGTAGGGGGAGACAGAGATCCCATCAGTGGCCGTCACTAAGTCTCCTAAAGGACTCAGCCTGGATGGGCTGGAGATTGAGCCTGACTCCTACGACGTCCCCGCCGACCTCTCCTCCGATGAGGAGTACTTGAGCGTGGAGGAGACGGACTCCTCACGAGCAGCTCGCCTCAAGAAGTCAGTCGTGAAGAGCACGGAGTCCCTGAAGGCCGCCTTCTCCAAGGAGAACATGAACAAGACTAAAGACAACCTCGGCACCAAGTTCCACAACCTGGGCGAGAAGGTCATGCCACACGAGCGCCGGGAGAAGATGCACCAGGCCGGAGAGCGACTGAAGCAGTCCGGTGAGCGGCTGAAGGAGAACATCGCCAAGAAGGCTCCGAGCAAAGAGACGTTCCGCATCAAGCTGAAGAAGGAGAGGGCCGTCGCTGAGGGACAGGAGGGCGCGGAGGCCGACCCCGAGGCCCAGGTCGAGGATCCGCAGGAGCCCTCTCCGGGTGTCGCCTACACCGAGGTCGGCCTGGAAACCAAAAGGGAGGGGCCTGTGGAGGAGGCCGGCGCCACCCGGATAGGATAGAAAGACTACAAGAAGAAGATTGCACGTGACTGGACAGCACTGACAGGGAGAGGAGTTGGGACACTCGGACAACAAGGATGGACACTTTCATTAGACCTGAGACGGTGTTGGCACTGAAGACAAAATATCAATATATGAACTGGTAATTTATTAAATGTGCAAATTAACGTCAGGTGACTGTTTCATGTTTTCACAGGTTTTAACAAATCCAACCTCTTCCTCTGATACAAACTGACGTGAATGTAAAAATCCTTCTTTGTAATTTAGGTTTCAGGTTTTAGATTTGAACAAAGCTGCAGATGCGTTTTATGAAAGAAAAATACCGTAGAAAGAATTTGATCAAACGGAGAAAAGACGTTGAATGTTGATGTGAAGTTTGTGTCCTGATCTTTAATCTGGATAATCAAACCGTGTGCAGGCCTCAGCTGGTCTCTGAGGAGCCCGGTGGGAAAGAACGTGGACTCAGAACGTCAGACTAGTTTCTGTGCATGAAAAACAGCAGAACTACAAGTGGATGCAGTAAAACAACATCAGCCCCAACTTCTATCTTCTGTCTCTTCATTCGTACACTGGCAGATTTCTATTAAAGAAATATACAAGTTATTCCTGCTGCACCCGACGAGAGGATAATCAGAGCTCACGTCTGATTCTGTCGGGACAGATTTTAGGGTTTCATGATCCTGACGTGTGAGAGGTTCACAGACAGAATCCGATCCTGACCTGTTCTAAACAGTGAATATATTTGATATTTATCTTTGATATTTACGAGCAGTAGTATGTCGTATGAAAGGAACAGCGGTTGAGGCTGCAACAGCCAATGAGAGCGAGCGCACCAGGAGGTTTCACTAACTGTGTGTTGCGTCTTTGTGTTTAGAAGTGGAACATCTCATACAAGGTGGACAGTTGAAGAGGACACTAGAGACAATGGGATTTGTCTCATGTGTCCTGACGAGGACGCAGTCCGCCTCCATGTTTGTTTTCATCCAGAAGTCACTCTGAGTTTCTGCTCAGAGAAGGTTTGTGTAATCGCCACGTGCGTGTCCCTGCGTCTCGACTCCATCAGCTCGTGTCGTTCTCACATAGAATAAAAATTGTTTACATCTGCTGTTCCGTCTGTGGTTTTTGAAATCATTAAGGCTACATCCATACGACTACGGTCTCTGGTTTGAATCCTCGTCCACACTCAAACACCTGAAAACAGAGATCACATGACCGCTCATGTCCACTGAGCTTGTGTGTAACAGATTGTTCCAATAACATCTGGTCTGCTCCACAAGTAAACAGCTGTGTGATGAACATCTGTCAGCAAAGACAACAGCGTCCGCGACACTTTGATCCTCCATGTTGTTTCTGAGGCTGGTGGTTTTCTTCATGGAGGAGGTCATGTGACAGGAGGCTGGCGAATCAGAGGAGGTTACGTCATGACTGAAAAGAACCAATCAGCAAGAGGTTGTGAGCGTCTACGACATTGTTTCCAATATACATGGTGTTAATGGGTTTAAGGTGGACTGAGCTCTGGTGTTAATGGGTTTAAGGTGGACTGAGCTCTGGTGTTAATGG